ATATGCCCTTGTTCCTTAACCAAGGTGCATCTTGCCCCTGTTCCTTAACCAGGGTGCAAGTCCTCTATATTCCATTATCCAAGTTGCAATCAGGTGCAAACGTCCTTAAAGCCTTTATCCAAGTTATAATCATGTGCAAATGTCCTTACATCCTTAATCCGAGGTGCAACCGGGTGCAAATGTCCTCATGGGGTGCAACCTGGTGCAAGTATCCTTAAATCCTTAATCCGAGGTGCAACTGGGTGCAAATGTCCGCTATGGGGTGCAACCTGGTGCAAGTATCCTTAAATCCTTAATCCGAGATGCAACCGGGTGCAAATGTCCTTATGGGGTGCAACCTGGTGCAAATATCCTTAAATCCTTAATCCGAGGTGCAACCGGGTGCAAATGTCCTTATGGGGTGCAACCTGGTGCAAGTATCCTTAAATCCTTAATCCGAGATGCAACCGGGTGCAAATGTCCTTATGGGGTGCAACCTGGTGCAAATATCCTTAAATCCTTAATCCGAGGTGCAACCGGGTGCAAATGTCCTTATGGGGTGCAACCTGGTGCAAGTATCCTTAAATCCTTAATCCGAGATGCAACCGGGTGCAAATGTCCTTATGGGGTGCAACCTGGTGCAAGTATCCTTAAATCCTTAATCCGAGGTGCAACCGGGTGCAAATGTCCTTATGGGGTGCAACCTGGTGCAAGCATCCTTAAATCCTTAATCCGAGATGCAACCGGGTGCAAATGTCCTTATGGGGTGCAACCTGGTGCAAGTATCCTTAAATCCTTAATCCGAGGTGCAACCGGGTGCAAATGTCCTTATGGGGTGCAACCTGGTGCAAGTATCCTTAAATCCTTAATCCGAGGTGCAACCGGGTGCAAATATCCGCTATGGGTGCAAATATCCTTTATCATAGGTGCAATGTCTCTATGTGGCCCTGTTCCTGTCCAGGGTGCAACTCCTCTATATGCCCTTGTTACTTAACCAAGGTGCATCTTGCCCCTGTCCCTTAACCAGGGTGCAAGTCCTTTATGTGCCCTTGTTTCTAACCAAGGAACACCTTGCCCCTGTCCCTTAACCAGGGTGCAAGTCCTTTATGTGCCCTTGTTTCTAACCAAGGTACACCTTGCCCCTGTCCCTTAACCAGGGTGCAAGTCCTTTATATGCCCTTGTTCCTAACCAAGGTGCACCTTGCCCCTGTTCCTTAACCAGGGTGCAAGTCCTTTATATCTCTTATTATACCTTGCACCTATGTCCAGGTTGCAATCATGGGTACAAATGCCCCTTGCACCAATATGGGGTTGCAAGTTGGGTACAACTCTCCAAAATATCCTTTACACCTAATTCAGATGGTTATTATGTATGCAAATATCCCTTGCACCGATATGGGGTTGCAAGTTGGGTGCAACTCTCCCAAATGACCTTCACACCTGGTGCAAATATTCCTTGCACCAATATGGGGTTGCAAAGTTGGTTGCAACTCTCCAAAATATCCTTCCGTTGATTATCTTGGGTGCAAATATCCCTTGCACCAATATGGGGTTGCAAATTGGGTGCAACTCTCCAAAATGTCCTGGGATTGCAAGTTAGGTGCAACTCTCCCAAATATCCTTCACACCTATTCAAGGTGGTTGATATGGGTGCAAATATCCCTTGCACCAATATGGGGTTGCAAATTGGGTGCAACTCCCCCAAATATCTTTCACACCTATTCAAGGTGGTTGTTATGGGTGCAAATATCCCTTGCACCTATATGGGGTTGCAAATTGGGTGCAACTCCCCCAAATATCCTTCACACCTATTCAAGGTGGTTGTTATGGGTGCAAATATCCCTTGCACCTATATGGGGTCGCAAATTGGGTGCAACTCTCCAAAATATCCTTCCGTTGATTATTGAGGGTGCAAATATCCCTTGCACCGATATGGGGTTGCAAAGTTGGTTGCAACTCTCCCAAATGGTTATAATGGGTGCAAATGTCCCTTGCACCAATATGGGGTTGCAAAAATGGTTGCAACTCCCCCAAAAGGTCCTTCCGTTGAGTATTGTGGGTGCAAATATCTCTTGCACCGATATGGGGTTGCAAGTTGGGTGCAACTCTCCCAAATCTCCTGGGGTTGCAAGATTGAGTGCAACTCTCCCAAAAGTCCTTCACACCTATTCCAGGTGGTTATAATGGGTGCAAATATTCCTTGCACCAATCGGGGGTTGCAAGTTGGTTGCAACTCTCCCGGAAATAACAATATAATGTTGGGTAAAAAAAATGAATAAAAATACACACACAATTTCTATACAATCCGATATGACTCTCTAAATTAATGTTCAAAATGTCCAGGCTAAAAAATGGACAAACCGTGATGATATTTTATCAACAATCTTTCGTCAATTACTCAACAAAATATTCTTACTTACGACCCCGTGGTTGTTCCAGTCTGTAAATCCGTTAATATTTTGTCGCACAACAACTTGACAAACTGGTCAAATTCCTTTTATATGCCCCGCGCGGACGTTTTGGACTGCATAATTCTGATTGGTTAATACCGCCAAAAAAACTAGGTTAGTATGCCAATGAGTCTCCGCAATGGGCGATAATATGAAATTGCCGTGGATGGTCATGTCACTAAAATGCTAAAAACGTGATCAATTAACTCGAAAATGATTAAAAATCAAAGTTCCTATGAAAGATTATACGCCAATAATTAATCCGCCACTAGCCTAAACTCACCAGTTCCACTGAAACTCCTGTAAAATGGCTTCGTTTTCCGATTTCTAAAGAATAATTACATTGACTTCCTTATTTCCGGAATTTCTTATCAAAACCGGTAATGGTGAAACGAAATCACAAAAATCAATTTTCATCACATTCCTCCCTTCCCAGGGGTAGGTTCGTCCCGAACCAAAAACAAAAAAACAAAACAAAAAAAAGATGAAAATTGATTACGGCTACTTCAAGTCCGTGTTTGACCTTCCCTGATCTATAGATCTATTTCACACTCTTTGTATTTACATCCTAAATGAGGCCAATTCGTCTCCTCCATGCCTCCTCCCTGTTTTTATTTTGTCCCGGTCGAGGACATGAGTTTTCATTTTTGTCAAATTGTCTCTGTATGTCCTTGCCAGTGTAGTTTTTCTTGATATCCTTTGAGTCCCAAGATAATCTAGAACTCCCTCTACTACCACTGAGGGGAGGAACTTTGTTCGCCAAGTCTGGGCACTCTTCTGCTGTGACATCGGTAGACTCTGTAGTTTCCGATACTACATGGAAGTTTGTATCGGTACTACCACTGATCTGTTCAGTTATGACAAATGTATTAGGTTGAATTTGAATATTCTCCTTTGTTCGACAATCGGAACAATCATCTCCTTTAGTTGCTGGGGAGACTTCAGCAACTTTCCTAGACAGTGTGCCACATATCTCTGTCTTGGCAATTATCTTCTGTACAATTTGGTTGTCTCCCTCTCCTGATTCAATTTTCCCATTTTTCTCTGTTAAAAATTGAATGGGGGCAGTTACTTTAGTTTCCTGCCGTTTTGATATGGGTTCTCCATTCACTGTTTTGTGGGCAAAACACTCCCTTGAATAATGCCCCATCCTGTGACATCTGTAACATTCAACATTCCTTTTAGGGAATTCCCCCTTTTGTTTGGTCTGAACTAGATCTTTAATTGCTTCCTGTATAGGTCGGAGACCTTCCTGAAGACTACCCTTCATGATCTCAACCAAATCCGAGAATAACTCCTTGCTATCTTGGGATTGATCTTGAGGTTCTTCCACCGCTGCAATTGCTCCATCCTTATAACGGGGCAACTGCTTCATCCCTTTTCGCATCCTCTCAGATTCCAAGTATGATTCTTCCCGAATAGCTAATTCAATAGCTTTATCAAGGGACTGTGCATTTCCCTGATGTATTGCTCTTCGCACTTCCTCCTGGGGAATGGCTAACTCAAAACTTCTTCGCGCAAGTCTATCCTGTGCAGACTTTGTCATCTCCGGGTAAGCCAGGCCAGTTAACCGGCGAATATCCTGTCCTAAACTCGCCAGAGACTCATTTGGTTTCCTAGTCCTACTCGACAATTGAGCTTCAAAAATGTCAGCTTTCCCACCTGGTCCGAATCGTTTCTCCAGGGCAGACACCAGATCTTCATAAGTGTACCCAGGATCCATTTCCGACAAGATTTGCTGGGCTGGACCCCGCAAACTGGTGACTAAAAATTGATTTTGCTCCTGGGCATTCCATCCATTAGCCTCCACACAGGCATTAAAATAAGTCCTATAACCCATCCATGGTGTTTTGCCTTCATATGGCTCTGGGCGAATTTTTACCCTAGCTTGATTATTGCTCCTTCCCTGGGCCATTTCCTTACAAAATTCTATACATGTTTTAGCCAACTGAGCCATTTGAGTAACAGCAAACGAAGATTCATTATTTGTCTCCTCTGAAATTCCAGGATTTTGGCTGAACTCCGATTTTGAGTCCTTCCTACAATGCCCGATACTTTCCCATTGCTCATGTTGGTGTTCATCCTTTTTAGGTGGTTTCCATTCGAACTTGTTTTCCGAGTTCCTGAAGAAGTTGTTTGAGGACTTAACTTTACTATGTGCCACCAAGTTCCGATGTTCCTCACGGGGATCCTCTCTTTCACCCTCCAAATCTCTTCTAGTTTTGGCATAGCTTTGAGTGCCTTGCACCTCAAATTTTCTCTCCCTGTGAAATCTAGCCTGCCTCCGTAAAGGCAAAGGGGTTTCCACCCTTTTCCCTGGAGGCTCGCCATCCCATTCCTGTGATGGGGGTATCACTTTCCGAGGTGCACTCTCCAATGGTTGCCTATTGCCCTGGTATTGATTCACTTCAATATATCCAGAGGTGGTTCTGGGTGGGGGAAAAACTTCCTCAGATATTAGTTTCCTATTAGTGGTTGGGGCAATGTCCATTCTAGTTTGATCATTCAAAGCAGACCTGCTCTTCCGATTCTCTTCCACTGTGTTAGCCAATATCTGCACAGTGTTAGCCACATCTTCTACACGAATGCTTAGCATTTTGGCAACATTTTCCACCTTATTTATCATCTGGAAATTATCTCTCTGATTTTGCTGACAAAGGTTGTCTATTTTCTCCTCCATTTATATGACTGTGTTATCCAGTCTCGAGAGATTACATCCAATCTCAGTTACAAGCAATTTCTGCTTATCCAGTTCTTCACTCAAAGTAGGAGAGCACTCTCCCCACTTTGGGGCATCCCTTCCCGGTGTCATTCTTGTGGATGTTTTGGGGAACTTCCTCCTAGATCCCAACTGTAGGATGGGTGAATTCCAGGGGTCAGATGCCCTCTCCATCCCATTTTCTGGAACGGTATCCATGAATGGGTTTGGTTCCAATTTTTCCTTTCCAGGCCAATTGATCGAATTCCTGTTCACTAAAGGGAAATCCTGCGTCCCTATTTCCTCCATAGGATCCTTCCACGGTTTACCACCCGTGGTCCAATTATCTCCTGTCAAATATCCAGTGCTAAATCCACTGGCTTGTGCAGTGGGCACTTTACTTTGCTCTCCTCTGTCCCCCATTAAGGACAGATGTTGGGGCACTTATCGTCCCTATAGAGCCGGTTTGTCTGACTGTCTGTCTCACAAGAGCATCTGTAGGCTCGAAAAAGGGGTTTAATGCTTCTCGTTTCCTACTTTCTACTTGCTCTTGTCTTATTCCTTGGTTACTAAAATTCGGGGTATCCTCCTCCCCATCCTGTGTTGGGGAACTTCTTTGTTCCACAGGCAAAGTTGTATCACCTGCCCAAGGGTTTTTTATATCCTCGTAGTCATTCTTAAAGAAGACCCAGGTTTTCTTTTGTTCCTTTGTTTGATCCATACTCTCAATATCCGACATTTTATCAGATATTTCCACCTGCAAATTTACATGCAATTTCCAAGATGTGCGTCCCTATTATAAATCCTTATCCTTGCTTCCACAAGAGCAACTGAAGCAATCCCACTTCTGACACCAATGTAACGTTTTTCCCGTGGGTCAGGAATGCGGGGAAAATGCGGGAAAGGTGGACTCTCCCGCGTGTTACTTAATTGCGGGATTATACGGAGCGGCGTTGACTCCGCTCGCTACAGTCGCCTGAGATGTTACTCCAAGGGAATGCAAGGGGAAAGAAAGTATTACGCAATCTGGGTTTGCACTACACAAGCTCCCTCCGGAACTCAATACAATACAAAAATGAACATTCAAGTACAGAATAAAAATAAAGTTATATATTTGCTCTTTATGAGCCAAACAATCACAAACAATGCTCTAGAAACAATAGACAATTATGTACAAAGTTGAACTCAAACTACACTAAGCTATATAATCACTAATGCCTTAAGGCAGAAAAAATACATGTGATGTTACTTGAAGGTCTCTAAAGTTACTATGAGAAAGTAAGATCAAATCGTGTTTCACTTTAATCAGTTCCACAAAAGATAAAGGTTGATATGACTTGAATGCCTCTAAAGTCTTCTTCAGCAATTGTGGGATGCTGCTCTTTGTATTCTCTTGTCTGTCCTGAAATAAAAGGGCGCTCCTGGCCACGGGACTCAACTGTCAACTAATCAAGTTTATAAATGTGCAACCTGGTGCAAATATTCTTAAAATCCTTTTGTGGGTGCAAATGTCACTTGCACCTATATGGGGTTGCAAAGTTGGTTGCAACTCTCCCAAGTGTCCTTCCAAGGTTTATTTTGGGTGCAAATATCCCTTGCACCGATATGGGGTTGCAAAATTGGTTGCAACTCTCCCAAGTATCCTTTCGTTGATTACTGTGGGTGCAAATATCCCTTGCACCGATATGGGGTTGCAAAATTAATTGCAACTCTCCCAAATGTCCTTCCGTTGATTATTGTGGGTGCAAATATCCCTTGCACCGATATGGGGTATGCAAAGTTAATTGCAACTCTCCCAAATGTCCTTCAATTGATTATTGTGGGTGCAAATATCCCTTGCACCGATATGGGGTTGCAAAGTTGGTTGCAACTCTCCCAAATGGTTTAATGGCTGCAAATATACGCTATGGGTGCAAATATCCTTTATCATAGGTGCAATGTCTCTATGTGGCCCTGTTCCTGTCCAGGGTGCAACTCCTCTATATGCCCTTGTTACTTAACCAAGGTGCACATTGCCCCTGTTCCTTAACCAGGGTGCAAGTCCTTTATGTGTCCTTGTTTTCCTTTTCACCTATGTCCAGTTTGCAATCCCTTTATATGCCCTTGTTCCTTAACCAAGGTGCATCTTGCCCCTGTTCCTTAACCAGGGTGCAAGTCCTCTATATTCCATTATCCAAGTTGCAATCAGGTGCAAACGTCCTTAAAGCCTTTATCCAAGTTATAATCATGTGCAAATGTCCTTACATCCTTAATCCGAGGTGCAACCGGGTGCAAATGTCCTCATGGGGTGCAACCTGGTGCAAGTATCCTTAAATCCTTAATCCGAGGTGCAACTGGGTGCAAATGTCCGCTATGGGGTGCAACCTGGTGCAAGTATCCTTAAATCCTTAATCCGAGATGCAACCGGGTGCAAATGTCCTTATGGGGTGCAACCTGGTGCAAATATCCTTAAATCCTTAATCCGAGGTGCAACCGGGTGCAAATGTCCTTATGGGGTGCAACCTGGTGCAAGTATCCTTAAATCCTTAATCCGAGATGCAACCGGGTGCAAATGTCCTTATGGGGTGCAACCTGGTGCAAATATCCTTAAATCCTTAATCCGAGGTGCAACCGGGTGCAAATGTCCTTATGGGGTGCAACCTGGTGCAAGTATCCTTAAATCCTTAATCCGAGATGCAACCGGGTGCAAATGTCCTTATGGGGTGCAACCTGGTGCAAGTATCCTTAAATCCTTAATCCGAGGTGCAACCGGGTGCAAATGTCCTTATGGGGTGCAACCTGGTGCAAGCATCCTTAAATCCTTAATCCGAGATGCAACCGGGTGCAAATGTCCTTATGGGGTGCAACCTGGTGCAAGTATCCTTAAATCCTTA